ACAGTGAATTTCATTCCGCTTCATTCATTTATTTTACGGGTGTGCATTCACTCCCCAGACAGTTCTGTGTGATAAGTAATAACAGAACAGTTTTTACTTTAAATTGGTCACGAATTACACGAATATGGCATTAACGTTAAATCTTTAGGGGAAGTGTGATGGCGGCTTGCTAGGATAACATTAGCATTTGTGAGCTAACGTGATCATGGTGACCGATGTTTTCTTCTGCTCAGGTCCTTTGATTAGGGGGTGTTATCTGACAATTACTGTGTATGACACTAATTAGATGTTATTTGGTCAGCCTTAAGCTACATTAAACCTGTATGTTTTGAATTTGAAAGAACATATTTTGATGGCCAAAAAGTTTTTGGTCTCAAGTTAAGGAAATCCCTGGATGTCTGTGTCTGTGGATGGCACTGTTTTTTGCAGTTCAGTAAAAAATTAAAACGTGTTTGAAACTACTTTGGGAATACAACGTGTGTAAATGATGTCAGAATTATTTTAATTAAGTTATTTATTTTGTTGTACAAGCATGGGTTTTTCTTTTTCCACAATTCACAGAACTTGTTTTATTGTATTTTATAGGATGGCATCGGAGAGGAAGTCCTTAAGATGTCCACTGAAGAGATTGTTCAGAGGACTCGTCTTTTGGACAGTGAGATTAAGGCACGCTTCATACTGTGATTCACATTTAGTTGTTTTCAGTGTCTGCATGCATCTTTGTGCCTCATTTATAATCTCTATGATTTCAGATCATGAAGAGTGAGGTTCTGCGTGTCACACACGAGCTGCAGGCGATGAAGGACAAAATCAAGGAGAACACAGAGAAAATCAAAGTGAACAAGACTCTGCCCTACCTCGTCTCAAATGTCATAGAGGTAAAATACTTGTTCGTGTTTTTAAGTGCTATAAGTGCCTAGCTAGGCTGGAGTATGGTGTTAAAGCTTGTATGTTTTCTTTGTTTGAATGGAAGCTGCTGGATGTAGATCCTAATGACCAAGAGGAGGATGGAGCCAACATTGATCTGGACTCTCAGAGGAAGGGCAAGTGTGCTGTCATCAAAACCTCCACACGGCAGGTGAGTAATGTATCTAAATCTGCAGTTTTGTTTATGGCCAAATTCTTCCATCCATCTTTTATTTTCTTTTTTACAAATTGTAGTTCTTGTTAAAATAAATTTTAGTAATTTGTGTTAAGGCTTTGATAGTGTGTGAAACATTGAGTTTTGATTCACATTAACCTGGCATCTAAACATATTAAAAAAAGTGAAAATTGTTATGGAAGGCCAAAGTAGCATTAGCAATAGTTTAACAAATCACAAAGTGAGTTCAGCATCCGTTTCATACAGTCTGTATAAGTTAGAAAAGAATGTTCTTCATGAAAAACAAAAAGCGAAATATCAGAGAGGCAGATTGTTGTTAAGCTTTGACGATCACCTGAGTTTTCAACAGCCAGAACAGGATACTGAATTCAGCTATGCAATTAAATAACCTCAATTTTGTTTTAGGTCAATGCATATTGTCTAAATGAAACTCAGCTTTTGCTTTCAGTGTTATTTTAAATAATAATTACTAACGTTTTCAATAAATCAGTCACTAATGTTTAGTTCTAATTGCAGACGTATTTCTTGCCTGTGATTGGTTTGGTGGATGCTGAGAAACTGAAACCTGGTGATCTGGTGGTAAGTGAAAGTTAATTTCTTTTATTTGACTTTTTGTTCAAATAGAAATCAGTGGTTACACAGGGTGTTGGTGATATAGCGAGGTCATTTATTAAGCTAAACTAGCTTTAGTTAAAATAAAAAAATTGTGATCATTGCTGGCAGTGCTTCTATTAGGGTTGAGATGGTTTACAAAATTGTCGGTTTGGATTGTATCATGGTTATGTGGTTAGAGTTTTCGGTTAATTCAGTTTACATTGTTTAAAAAAGCTTTATTGTAGCACTTAGGAATACCATCATCATAAAATGCATAGCCTTATCTATAATTTACAGTACTTATATTGCCATAAAAGGCCATGTAATCAAAAAATTGAAAGAACAAGGTAGATTGATCTTAGTAATAGACAAATTATTTTATTATATGACATGTGTAATTCTGATGCTGCAAGAGGGGAATTGTAATGTAGGAGTGTCATTTAAAAAAAAAATGTCCAGGAATGTTTACTTTTACTTTGTGCTCTGATTAGACAACTGATATAGATTGGTATTCAGGTGTTATGTTACATGCAAATAAAGAGTCGCATCCGAATGCTACTGTTGACTTTCTTTCTTTTTTATAGACTAAGGACAGCTGTTTCAGCTGTATTTAATGTTCTTTATAAAACAAAAGTTTGTATAAACTAAGCATGGGCCGGTTTAGGATTTTGACGGTATAAAAACTTGGATAAAAATATCAGTTTCACAGAAATGTGATTACTGCTCTAAAATAAGTTTTTTTAAATGTCTGGATAAAAAAACGAAAACTTTTTTCCCCTTTGAACACAATATATTTTATTTTGAGAAATATTTAAGATATTTTGGAGCAGTAAACATGTTAGGCTAAAGAACTTGAATAAATCATTGACTTCTGCTGTCTTCAGTTATTAAAAAAACAGTTTTCTTTACAATTTAAAATGGCATCTTTGGAGATGTTTTCTGCTGGAGATACTATTGTCCTGAAAAAACAAAAACAAAATGTAAAAAAAAATAAACAAAACAAAACATGGGGACTGTAAAAAAGAAAATGTTAGCAGTTTTAATACCTTAACTTTTCCAAACTGCAGTATATCTTGAAAACTGTTATCATCCCATGCCTAATATGAACTGTCCCTTTAATGTTTAAAAAGCCTGTTTTGCCTAAAAATGTGTTGAATGTCTTGCTTCACCTGTTCACAGGGTGTGAATAAGGACTCCTATCTGATTTTGGAGACTCTACCCACCGAGTATGACTCTCGTGTGAAAGCAATGGAAGTGGATGAGAGGCCTACAGAGCAGTACAGTGACATCGGTGGCCTTGACAAACAAATTCAAGAGGTACAATCTGATTAACTGCCTCAAACCGTAATCCTGTCACTCACAATAGCAGTTTAAACTCTTTTTCTGAGCTTACTGCTTCGCTCTTTGCAGCTGGTGGAGGCGATAGTTCTGCCCATGAACCACAAAGAGAAATTTGAGAATCTGGGCATCCAGCCACCAAAGGGAGTTCTTATGTACGGACCACCAGGCACAGGAAAGACCCTGCTGGCCAGAGCCTGTGCAGCCCAAACCAAGGTCAGAGAGAACTGACGATCATCAAAATAACACTGTTGTCAACAATGTTCACTTGCAGAATTTTGTGCCAAGGCATGATCTCACGTTTCTGTTACTGTCCTTTTCTCAGGCAACCTTTTTGAAGTTGGCTGGCCCTCAACTGGTCCAGATGTTTATTGGTGATGGTGCCAAATTGGTGCGGGATGCATTTGCTTTGGCTAAGGAGAAGGCTCCCTCCATCATCTTCATTGATGAGTTGGATGCTATTGGCACCAAGCGCTTTGACAGTGAGAAGGCTGGCGACCGAGAGGTGCAAAGGACCATGCTGGAGCTGCTCAATCAGTTAGATGGCTTCCAGCCCAACATGCAAGTGAAGGTACACGCTTGTGTCCAAATGCTTTTCAGTTGTAAACATGCCCGTTTGACCTTCTGTTCTGACTTTTTTGTTTCTTGTCCCTCAAGGTGATTGCTGCCACTAACAGGGTGGATATCCTGGACCCAGCTCTGCTTCGTTCAGGTCGTCTGGATCGTAAGATTGAGTTCCCTATGCCCAACGAGGAGGCTCGTGCTCGCATTATGCAGATCCATTCTCGCAAGATGAATGTCTGGTAATGGAGCTTTTCTTGTTCTTGTTGCTTAGTAAAACCAAGCGTTTATATGAGTTCTTCTTATTTTCCTGATAATGAAATAATTGATGCAACGCATTTGTCACTGCTTAGAATGCTATAATGCAATAAGTTGCATGCCTTAATCTGTGTAAGACGCACAGTTTTACAAAAGGCTTAATTTAAATACTCTAGCGAAATCATGAAGTTGAGTGACAACATCATCAAACTTGGTATTTGCACACTTTTTTTACTTGTTTTTTTTTTTTACCTATATTCTCATGACGCTATCCTTTACTTCCTATGTGCCATAGCCCTGATGTGAACTTTGAGGAACTGGCACGATGTACTGATGACTTCAATGGAGCTCAGTGTAAAGCAGTTTGTGTTGAGGCTGTAAGTACGATCTTTGTGATCTTTGATTTTAACTTGGCTGCTTGTTTATAAGGGTTTGTTATCATTATGGTCGAGGCCCTTGACTTCTGGAAAAGGGAGGCAAATGTACTCTAAATGTACTCTAATGCAAGATGCAGTCTTGCTTTGATCTGCAATAAAATTTGACAGTATTTTTTCTGGAAAATGGAATTTGAAGAAATTTGCTCTCTATAAATCTCTGCTTAAATGTGGACTTTTAATGGAAAGAGTCATTGCTTCTGATTGTTTTTATTGCATGTTATCTAAATGCGTATTGATTTGTGTGTTAGGGTATGATTGCGCTGCGGCGTGGGGCAACTGAGCTCAACCATGAGGACTACATGGAGGGCATTCTGGAGGTGCAGGCAAAGAAGAAGGCCAATTTGCAGTACTATGCTTAAAGAGGAGGACTGTATGTATGTGTGTGTGTTTGTGCGTATGTGAGCATCTAACAGCAGGATCCAGCACACCTGTAAACTTGTGCTTATCAGATCCAGTGCTGCTCTGAGTAATGACCCGTGTTCTGATGGAGACAGATCAGCCAAATTAGACTGGACTGCCTCACAGTGAAGACTTATGGAACTTTTTTTTTCAGTTAACCTTTATGTTTGTTTCTCAGTTCATTAAACAAAAATCTTTTTTTCACTATATGTACTTTTTTTCTTATGAAGGTTGTTTAATGCATATCTGCTGTCTTTTGTGTTTTAGTAGTGATGGAAAAGCAGGGAATGAGTGATCCTTGATTAATTTAGTTTTTTTTTTTTTTTTTTTTTTTTGAGATTAAAAGGATTGTGCATCCACAAATGAACCGTTACTCACCCTCAAGTGGTTCCAAACCTTCCAGTTTCTTTCTTCTCTTGAACACAATGTATTTAAAAAAAAGTTATTTTCATAGGTAAGTTCCAAAGTAGGCAAACAAAAAATACTATGGAACTCAATGTTTACAGGTTTTCAGCATACTTCAAAATAATTTCTTTTGTATTAAACTCAAGCAGGCTTGTGACAAGCGAAGGGTGGGTAAATGATGATTGAATTTACAGTTTTGGGTGATCTATCCTTCTAAATGCTCTTTATTGCATCTCTAGTGTCAAATGTAATTGTAACATTTCAAACACTCCTAATCTTACTCAATTATTCCCAATTCTACTTCTTGCTACTTCTGTTAATATGTTAAGATCATCAGACAAAGTGCAAACATTTTTAAAGGATCAGCATTGCTGAGGTAAAAAAACACATTTAAAATGTAGTTTTGTATGTTTTTATGTATTTTATTCTTTTCTTTTGCAAAAATCATTTATAAATACAAAAATACTCAAATTAATTTTACATTTAATAATGATTGCAGATTAGGAGTAATAAAATAGTACCTGTTTGTTAATATTCAGCAATATGCCCATGCTGTGCAGTTTGAATTACATCATTTTAATGAGAGATTTTTTTTCTACTACATGTCAGCTCCTCTTCATTCTTCTGGCATAATGTCATGGGAAAACGGTCCGTGAATCCGGTCTGTTTATCAGTTCCCACACAATGCTGGCATCTTGTTTTCTTGAGGGGGGTGAAGTTCATGCTAAATCTCACAGAGGAATGGAAAAAGTCATCAGAATTGATCGAGTCATCTTGAAGGATTTTCCACACAAACAGTCCTAACCCAGCACGGTCCATTGAGTGTGTTTGCCAGATGAACCTCTCTTCATTGCTCGTCTTTACTGACTGTCACTTCATGTGTCCCAGATGGTACTGCCGAACTTTGATGTTGTTGCTTCTCCTCTTCTGCCCTCTGACCTTTGCATTTGACCCATAGGCACAAAAGCAGCCCACTGCAGCGCTTCCGAAACGCAGGGTCACAGCATGCGTACAGCAGAGGGTTCAAACAGCTGTTTACATAACCCAAGCAGATGGAGTACGGATGCGCCGCCACCAACCACTGGTCGAAACGGCAGGAGAAGGGGAGAATACCCAGCTCCACCATTGCGGAGAGTGTCTTGTTAGTGTGGAAGGGCAGCCAGCAGAGGAAGAAGGCCAGCACAAGGGTGATGATGATGCGGAGGAGCCTGCGCTGGCGTTTCTGATCGGGGCGCAGGCCTAGGCTGAAGTGTCTGGAAAGAAGCCGTCCCAGCCAGCCGTAGCATACTAGGAGCACTACAAGGGGTAAGAGGAAGCCAAGCAGGGTTGATTTTAACCCCAAAGCTGCTGACCACATGAGCTCTGCCTGCTCTGCCTCTGCTGGGTCCAGATCACTTGAGATTAAACTTGAATAGTCCATATCACACAAGCAGGAGGACGATTGTCCAGCCTGCCAGTCACCATCATCTCCTGATTCAAGATCCGGCTCTCTAACTGTTCGCAGAAGTAAAGCAGGGAGTGCCAGCACTCCTGCTGCCAGCCACACAATACCCACAATCCACCTGGCACGTGTGCTTGACGTCCTCTGCTTTGAACCGTTGCCACGCTGTCGTGTGATGACGCAGTAGCGCTCCACACTGAGCCCAGTCAGAGAAAACACGCTTGCGTACATGTTCAGTGCCACTATGTAACTGCTCGTCTGACACAGAACTTGGCCAAAGGGCCAGTGGTAGCCCAGTGCTGTGTAGGCAGCCCATAATGGCAGGGTCATGACGAAGGCCAAGTCAGCCAGTGCTAGACTGATTATTAAAGACTCGGTTACTGTTCGAGTAGATGTCGGAGAGGGACAAGGAGGAGAATCGGGAGTCTGGGAAGACTTTGAGCCACTTCCTATCCTCCCTCGCCCTCTCGCTTGGCGGTCCAGGTAGACCCACAACACCAGACCATTACCCAGAGAGCCCACGACAAACACCAGCAGGTACACGCTGGGGATCAGCACCCATGTTGGAGACCATTCTGTGTAGTCACATGAGGGGAAGGGAGAGGGTGAGGGGAAGGGCAGAGACCCGGACATTTGACAGCCACACACTTGCACCTAGTGCAGAAAGCCTGTGGAGGACATCGGCAGGACCCTCTGAGGATATAAGGGTGATTAGTTTTGAAGAAATGCTTGTTCGTAAACAGGAGGAAGCAACTTTGTCCTTTCCCAGAATTCTTGTTTATACTGTTTGGGAGTAAGCGGTGGCTCCTCAATCCTCTTTGATTTCTGTGGGGTAGATAAAATAAGAACTTGTGTTATAACAGATTGGGTCATATACAGTTGAAGACTCCCTGTTTATTTTTAACTTAGATTTTTTTCAACACATTTCTAAACATAATAGTTTTAGAACTAATCTCTAATATCTGATTTATTTTATCTTTGCCATGATGACAGTAAATATTATTTGACTAGATATTTTTCAAGACACTTCTACACAGCTTAAAGTGACATTTAAAGGCTTAACTGGTTAACTAGGCAGGTTAGGGTAATTAGGCAAGTTGTTGTATAATGATGGTTTGTTCGGTAGACTATCGAAAAAAATATAGCTTAAAGGGGCTAATCATTTTGACCTTCAAATGTGTTTTAAAAAATTAAACTGCTTTTATTTTAGCCAAAATAAAACTTTCTCCAGAAGAAAACATAACAGAAATACTGTGAAAATTTCCTTGCTCTGTTTAACATCAATTGCGGGGAAAAAAAATTAAAGATAGTCTAATAATAATAATGTATATAGTATTATAGTAATATATACATTACTTCATCATCGTTCTTTAGACAGAGTAAATTAGAGGCCAATGTTGAAGGATGTGATTAACTCTACCAAAAGTATGGTAAGCTAATGGCAACAGGGGAAAGGACCTCGAACTCTATCAGTTGACGATAATATAGAAGAAAAAACTTGGATATTAAGATTTACATATTACATACACATTTTTGGTCATGATATGCTGTCTAATTACTCTTGAACAGGCGTGCCCAACTGTGATGCTGGAGATCTACCTTCCTCCAGAGTTCAGCTTCAACCCTGATCCAACACACCTGAACCAATTAAGTAGGATCTGAAGAGCACTTGATAATTACAGGCAGGTGTGTTTGATATGGAATGCAACTAAAATCTGCTGGAAGGTTGACTAAAAATGTTGGGTTCCACAATCGTTTTGTGTTGAGACAAGATAATCGAAGTAGCTTATTATTATATATTTTTTTGTTTTACAAATTTAAGTAGATTGAATATAAAAAACGAATTTGTCCCAACAAAATCTCAAGAATTTTGTTATTTTAACTCATTTTAAGTAAGTAATTCAAACAAGCAACAACAAATTTTTTTTGGCTGGAGATCTCCAAACACAGTGTTGGCCAACCCTGTCCAGACATCAAAAGTCATTCAAACATCAGTTTGAGGTAAAAGAACTGCTGATCTCCATAATCACTTCAAAGTATTTGCTTAGTTATTAATAATTGGCTTTTTTATACTTGACTAATTCACATATTAAAATGTTTTATTTTATGGCAAGTTGCATGATAATTTTCCACTGAAAAGGTGTTTGTTAATTAAGTAAATATGTAAAAATAATAATAATAATAATAGGTTCAATTGAAATACTGATATTACAGAGATTTCATAGAACAACCATTTGGGTTTTAACAAAGAGCCTTTCCATAAACGTTTTCAGAAAACAATTTTCTTAAGTCAAAGAACATTTAGGTATTTAACTACAGAGCTTTTTTGTTTTCTTTACAGCTTATAAATATTGTTTTATAAAACTGAGTGTCCATAGATGCTAACGTCTTCTTAAATCTTTTTTTGATGCCATTATGTTGGACTTTCTGTCCTGTTTAATACACAACTGAAGAACCATTTCCAGACAAATAGCATACCATATCAAAAAAAAAAAAATCCACAAAAAGGATCGTGCAAATGCAGTACTACTCTGTCACACCTAAGGTTAATAAAAAAAAAAATCCTACTCAAGCCAAACATCTCATACAGTACCTGCTTTTGTGAAGGGTTTATCTCTGTTTCTGTTATTAATTGTGCCCAGTTTTCTCTTCTGTGTATTTAAAGCCTCTGTGTTTCCAGATGATCTTTTTAAATGAAGGATGTTGCTCGGTTTCCAAGATCTTCTCTTGATCATTCTCGACAACTTCTCCTTGTGATCTTCCTCCTCTGTGTCACCTACAGGGAAAACGTCTGCTCTTTAAAGACCCTCTACTCTTTGTGTCCTCCTCCTCTATCAAAGGACCACCCCGTAGCAGTTTTGTGAGATCTCCAAACAGTCCCCCTGTACTTAAACACACTGAGCAAACTCGCAACACCTCAAGCCTGAAAGAGGCTTTGTGCACATCACAATGTCTTTCACCACTGTGAACATCAATCCTCAGCCAACACCATCACTACGTATTCCAGGTTGTATTAGCAAATACACATGCATTCATACAAATAATGAGCTAATATTTGACCTAAAACACTGGGAGGTCAGGAAATCAGAGACATTTTGTGCGGCCTGTTGTTATACAGAGCAGGTTGTATCACGGTGGATGATTATTTCTTTATTATGAAGAGGGAAAATTAGAGCATTTGCATACATTGGATTATAATGAATTGGATTGTGATGTGAGGCCCAGAGGCATAATATTTAAACCCAGTGTTTGAACATATACAGATGTTTTTTGAGTGTACGATGTTCGTACTTTGGATTTCAATTGCTTTTTGTGTGTGTGTGACAATGCAATAAAATGATTTAAGTATGAAAGGGAGGAACAAGGACAAAATAATAAGTGAATATATTGCTTTCAGCATATACTTTATTTTCTGTGAGCTTTTTGGTTTCATTAATTTTTGATTCTTAAAATAGATTTTGATTCTTAAAATACATTCTTTATTTCTTTATTTTTTATAAAGACCAGACAAACAGACTCTTGTATACAAAAATAAAGCATAAAAACAACACCAAAAAGGAAAATTGTGATGTAAAAGACAAATTTGACCTACCAAGTGTCTACAATAAATCTATAAAAAGGAAAATTAAAGACATTATTAGTGTTGTTTTGTGCGGTTTATTTCTAAACTAATTTCAAGAGGATCAGTTTCTTACAGTATGATTGATCACAGCTGGTTCCCCATTAGCTTCACATATCGCGCCAATCAGACTAACTCACTATAAATAACCAGAGTTTCTCTGCGTGCTTGTGTGGGTTTCCCCCGGTTACCTCCCACCATCCAAATACATACAATACAAGAAAACTGATGACTAATCCAATGTGGCATAATAAACTCTTAGCAAGCTATATCTCTTAGCTATTCCTAACACTTTTACAAGCAGGGGAGTTCTCAAGACCTACCTGTGCTCAAACTCCCCTCTCGCCCTTTAAAACAGGAGGGAGCCCTGGGTTCGAGGATATTCTGAGCTCAGGGCTCTCTCCGGAGACAACATGCCAAACACACTTTTTTATCAATCATCAGCTAAAGCTGCGATCACACTGGACTCTCTGTACAGAAATTTTAAATATGGAGCAATTGCTCGCTTTTTAAATGTCTAATCATTTTGTTTGATCCTGCCCCTTTTTTCAGCGCCATATGACAGAATTTAGCAAGCTCAAAATCTAGTGTGACCACAGCTTTTGAATAGAAATATATGAATTCACACTATTTTATCCATTTTTTTCAAGAGCTTCCAGAGGTGGTGTATAATATTTTGTCCTAATGTAAAGTGGGCTCAACCTTTGGGTTGAGACACTCCAACATATCTGACTAAATAAAATGAAAATCATTGGGTCAGAGAGAAAAATAACAATTATAAACTTTAGCAAAGAATTAAAACATTTCTCACTATAAACTCTTAATTTGTAAAATGAATGACACATGGACTGCCTTCTAAGACACTTCTTTCCACATTTTCAGTTTTTCACACAGATAATGTTAGTCCTGTATTTAATCCTTTGCCACACTAACCCATAGGCGTTTGTAGCTTCACCCTCTTTTGAAAAGAGCACAATCTCATTTGATTTTAAAGTGACAGTCACCATAACGCCACAATTTGGATCAAAGTCTAAAGCAGTTTTAGTGAGTTATAAAACATTATTTGTGTGGTATTTTGAGCTGAAACTTCACATACACACTCTAGAGACATCACAGACTTATTTTACAACTTGTTAAAAGGGCATAATAGGCCCCCTTTAAAAGGCATTACCAAATTAGGAGGTTATGCCCCTAGCATTTGGAGATCTATTCCGTTTCCTGTAGGAAAACAAAACACATATTCTGGAATAAACTTTGGTTTGCCCTTTTTTTCCAAATAGTGCTTTTATCATCCCAATATAAAATGTTTCAATACGTTGATGGCTTAATTTTATTTTAATTAAACTTGTAGTGCATAAAACATGCTGGATAAATTGGTGGTTCATTCCGGTGTGGCGACCCTGGATTAATAAAGGGACTAAGCCTTAAAGGAAATGAATGAAATGCTCTCAAGCACATGAAGCATGCCGCCCCTGCACTATAAATAGATACAGAAGGGGAACCACTTCCTCACACAATTATTACTTAATGTCAAGTGCAACCATATATTTGATATAAGTGACTCATACATTGTATCCATTTCAATTTCCATTGGGGTGAATAAAGACACAGGCTACAAAACATCAGACTATATCACATAGCTATTGGCTGTTTTAAAATGAGGAGTGTCCTGTGTTTCAATCAACATGCTGAATAACGCTACATGTTTCAGGGCATTCCAGGAGAACTTTAAAATAGAAAATAAATTTTGGTGGGAAATCTCTTCTAATAATAAATGAATTAGTCTCATAAAATGTCATAGTAATATAGTATGTGAACTGTTCACCTGCCTCTATTTACCTCATACATTCAGTGTGCTTGAGCAGTCTGAGTGTTATGTTGTTTAAACACTTCTGAAACTCAGGGATTCCCCCCTGTGGGCTTTGTGTGCACTCTCAACATGAATGAAAAAAGGGAAAGTCTTTTGTCTTGAAGAAAGTCTTGCAGGAAAGTCAACAGGACGGCTATTTATGAAGCAACACCATGACACACAGCAAATATTTAAAAATGCTGTTGTGAAACTCGTGTTTTCTCAGACTAACAAATTGGCCATGTGCACAATAGCCAGGAGATGTGGAAACCGCTGCTCACAGAGATCTTTATTAGAAGTTATACAAACAGATGAAATTTCCTGTTTGCAAGATCTCCATCTGAACTAGTGTAGAGCGGTTAGTTCAATCAAACGAAAAGCATTCAGACGGTATTTTGTCTAATGCCTGCTGATTTTAAATGACAGACCTGACTATTGCACAGCATGTAGGCAACAGTATGTAGAATATACACTTCACTTTGGCTCTGAGTGTCATAAAGACGCTCACAGATTTTTGTCTCTTTGTTTTTAATTGATTTCAGCTGTACAAACAGTAAAGGGGCCATAAAGAGGTCACAGGGCCCTGTATATGACATGAGTTAAACACACTCGGTTTCAAAAGCACCAGGCCAGACTATAAATTGTGTTGCAATATAGAGAAGCAGTTAAATTACACCCATGGGTGATTGTAGAATTTTGGGTACATTTTGTTCATATGCAAGATAAACTTTTCAAAAACACAAGATGTACTACCCTTTTATTATGTTCAGGGTGAAAACATCCACTGAATTAAACTGCTGTAAAAATGCTTCAGAAATTTTTTTAAATAACGTTTCATAAATCTGTTGATCAAGGTCAGTCCTGATCAAAACTACTCAATTATTTAGAAAATTGCAAGATTTTAACTCTTTATTGCCAAATTCATAAATGATGTCAGTAATTTGATGAAAAAAAAAACTCACACACAATGACGTATTTTCAATATAAAAAGTAATTGTGGATCCCAGTTTTGAACATAGTAACAACATTGGCTTTGATGCATTGTTAGATTTTCATTTTTTCTCTCTTATTTACTGTTGGTGGCTGTTTTTGCCCCATTGACTTCCTTTATTACCACATTTGATGGTGCATAAATAAACAGTCTTTGTTTTTATTTACTCCATGTAGTTCTGAGAGCTGAGATGCATATGTTGATTTTCTCAGACACATCAAGGTAAGTGCGCAAAAGTCACTCTCACACACTCACAGACACACATAGAGTACACACACTTTAATTGGCTATTGTACTCCAATTAAAATCTAGAAACTGCGCTTTTTTTGCACAGGCCTGTCTAAAGGCTTAATGCTGCCAACTGATGATCAAAAGTAAAAATTACAAATTGTACCTCTTCCCAACAGGGAAAACCACCAACAATCAACAATGCATGATTATACTGTAGGTACCATGGTTTTGGGGGAAAATGGTTATACTGTAAGTCAATTATAATAAAATATGTATATAATAAAATGAATCCAAAACAATATATCAAAGGCAATGTTGTTTCACATGTCCAAGACTATCATAAAAGGTAAAAAAAAATCCAGTTCACATTACTTTTTTTTATATTGAAAATACAACATTTTGTGTGTGTTTTTTCACCAAATCAGTGACATTATTTTTATTAAAGATTTAAAATCCTGTAATTTTCTAAACAATTTAGTTTTTTTTTTTAAACTTTATCTGATGTATTTTTACAGCAGTTTAATTTGGTGGATGTTTTCATCCCTAACATAACAAAAGGGCAATAAATTTGCCCAGAGTGTATTGTTGCGTTTCTTTAAAAAATTCAAAGGATTTTCTCAAAATATGTGACCAAATAAGATTTGTCAGCAAAAACCATTCTGCTAGCTGAAACATAAAAAGTGTAAGGCCAAATTAAGACATGAAATCACCCCAGAGTGGATAAAAACATCCCCGACGGCACATAAGAGTTAAAAATAACACAAATGAAATCGAGTAAAAAAAACTTATGTTTGTTTGTATTTGAGGACATTTTGTGTGGAAAATATTGTGCACCCACCTCCTTAATCATACATTCCGCTGCAAATAATTTTCATCTTTAATTAAGTTAAACATTTGCATGAGCCATCAGAAAATAAAAACTAAATGTAAAAAATACATCTTGTTTGTCACTAAATTATGGTCAACTCTGCCACATCGGTTATAAAAAGACAAAACATCTTGAAAGCACTGATAGAAAAATCACGGGACTTTGATGTCACTTCGTGCAGTTTATTTATAAATAAATTTTGAGAGAAGCACG